TTCGGCGCCGGCCTCCCCGGCGAGGGGTGACCTGCGAGGGGCGCGGGGGTCCGGCCTGGCCGCCGCTTCTCCTGCCCTAACCTTGCCCGCGGCCCCGGGAAGCAACTCCCGGCCGCTCCTGCGGCGCCTGGCGGGGTCCTGTCAGCAGTTTGGGGAAACCCCCGTGAAACCTGCCCCGCTTCCCCCCTTCTCTGGCTTTTTTGCTTCTTTGTTTGCCTTGGGTGATGTGGGAGCGCGTAGTTCAGGTGGCTGGGTTGCATATCGAGCCCGAGTGCCCCGTGAGCTCCTGACATCTGATGGGCCGCAGATGTGGCTTTCGGGGACGCAGCCGTCCGAGGAGAATAGAACATTTTTAACTGTGCCACTCGTTCTTTTTAAAAAGTGAGTCTGGGCAGACTTGTAATATTTCAACTGTTTCCCCAGTCCCAGCACTGTAACTCCCCTCGCGTCAAGGTTGTTGTAAACTACTTAAAAAGGCCGCTTTTGGAAAGGCTTGGGGGGGTTGTTCTCTTTTTTTTTAGTGTTATGTTGTGTAGCTGTCGGGGAGAGCTTCCACCTTTATTAAGTAGCGTCTAATTGTATTTATGTCTTAGTTTGTTGGTAGCAGAACTAGGCTGCTGGTATTAACGTTGGCAGGTACCTTTACAAACCCATAACTTGGTTAAACAAGCTCTCGGTTGTAACTAGTTAGGTACTTCAAACCAGCACAGAGTACCTAACAGCGTTTCAAAGGCTGAAAAAACTTGTGTGTAGAGGTGCTGTGACATTAAGTGTTTGGGTTTGGTTGTTTTTTCATGGGCAAGCGATTCGAGCTTTTAAAAAATGAGTGAGTATTAAATCATTGAACCCTTGAGCATCTCTTGAAAAATGTAGGATTTATCTTAATTCCTCCCCTCCCCCCTCCAAAGATTTTTATTTGCTTTTCAGTCTTCTCAGGCACTTGACGAGTATAAGACCAATTAATAGTTTCACTTACCAGCAAGTGCTAGCCTATTTCCAGTTTTCCAGCTAAAAAAGTTTTAAGTGCAAACAGTAATAGCTTTCCCCTTAGAGCAGCAAACAAACCTCACTTTTAAAACGTTTCTCTTGAAATATCTTACGTTTCTTGGGTCTGTTAAAAAACATAATGTTTGACCTTGAGGTGGAAACTGGGTATGGTGCTCTTTGAGGTCTTCGTCTTGTGGTTCACCTGCCCTAGTTAGCACCTGTAGTTGCTGTTCCTGCGATAGGAGAGCTGAAAGTCAGGCAGTCGCAACAGCGCAGCTTCCCCTGTCGCCCTGGAGGAGGGGAACGTTGCTTCTGCGGAGTGAACAGGTTTGTCACAAGCGCTGAGGAGGGCAGGGAGTCGCTTGTCATGCGTTTGCTCAGCCCAAACGTTCCCCCTACATACATATACGGTACAAAAGCAGTGAGAAGTAGTACGGGGAACTCAGCCGCCCAGCAGCAGTCATTTTTAAGCATTGTTTTTCTGAGTATTTCTCGCATCTAGTGACCTAGAGGAGTCTGGTGCTGGCGAAAGAAGCTCGAAAGGGGGTGGTTGCGTGGCTGCTAAAAGGTACTGAAAGACTACTTTCCGTGCTTCTGGTATGCAACACTGATCCCCACTGTCTAGGGGATTAGGAGGAGGGACGGTGGGGGAGATGGAAGGTGGTACGTGAGTTTGGGCAGCTGGTATTTATGCTCGAGTGCGAGGGTAACAGCTCTGACTCATTTTTAAACACTTGAATTTTTAATTATAATGTGTCGACTATTTCTGTTTGCTCTTCAGCCTAATTGCTAGTTGGCATGATGAAGAGGTGCGATGAGAAATTCCTGAGAAATCAGGAAGAGGAAAGGACTGTGGTCGTCCACATTCAAGCGTTGTGATGTGTACTGCAGTACGGCCCGGCTGCCTGTGCTTGCGCTTGATAAGCGCGCGAAGGCTGCCTGCTTGGTAGAACGTAAAGCACACAAACAAGTTGGGAAACGAGTGGATGCATTAAACCGGGTGCTGTGGAGGGAGAGGAAAAGGGAAGGAACCTGAAGCCAACCACAAGGCGGTTGAGAACGGTCGATACGGAGCGGTCAGAGCACACGCTGCGCTCACTGATAAAGGAGAGGTGGGAAGGATGTTTGTGTGCGTTTGACAAATGGGGAGATCGCGCTGGCAGCTGACAGCGTGGAGGAGGTGGGGATTAATGGGGTAAGATAACATTGGACGAACAAAGAGTAAATACAGAGAATCGTGAGGGGCTTTGAACGCTAAGCGTGAGGGAGATAAGTTGCTGTAACTTGATCGGAGCAACGAGAAATAATTGCCTTGCTCGTCCTGACCCCTCATCTCCTGGCTGTGTATTTACCTTTGAAATGCCAGCTTCTTTGCCTTGCCCTGATTCTGTTGACTTTCTTCGCTGTCTCTTGTACGTTATCACATCGACTCCCTGCTCTCCACCAAGGATGTGCGTGCCTTCTGTGACCCACCTGTACATCAACATCTCACTTAAACATTTGTTAACGAGATGGGAGTCTCTACGTACCACACTGTGAAAGCGGCTACAGGCTGAGCGTTCCCAGCTCTCTGGTTACCCTCCGACCAGAATCTCACTGGTAGATTGTTAAAGCTTTGGACACTTTCCAAATGAGTACATAGTTTCAAGCAACCTGTATTTAATTTTCTATAACGTTTCAAAGTTAGTGTGTTGACAGTACTTTTTGACAGCGTTGGGTCTGTGGTCATTCGCAGCTTCTGTGTTTTTGTCTGCTGTTGACTAGATGACTTAGAAAACTGTAAACATTGACAAGAACCGAGCAGCAGATTTAATAACACATTCACTGGATCAGAGTGAAAGATTTAACTACCGTAGTTGCCAGCGTATAACTCGCACCCCAGAACAAGCACTCTGGAAAAGAAATACCAAAACTTGAAAATCTTGGCTGGCTCGAAAATTATCCGTAGCAATGGGCAACCAAAACCGAAGCAGCAGTGGGAGAGGGGGACAGGCGTAGCGCTGGGGAAGAGCTCTGGGATAAAGTTGTGCCGTACAGTGCACGTCGCTGCACGGTTACAGAGCCGAGATAACCCGCGGCTTACGTGGCAAGGAAACCACTTTTGTCTCGGTTTTCCAGTACGTGAATCGAAGTTCAGCAGAGAACCGACACTCGTGCCTTTAATTTTAGCACTGTAACTCGGGAGCAGCCGAACTGTTGTGGCAGCGGAATCTGTGGCAGCAGGCGCTGTTGCAGGGAGGTTAGTACGACTTTCGTGGTGCTCTGTGCTGCCTTTCTGTCGCATCTTTGCTCCGGGATTTTAATGCATAATGCAGTTCTGAGCCTGCGACTTCAGGCCTGGAGTGCAACGTCTACAAGTGTGCAATTCTGAGCGAAAACTGGCTGAAAGGGGCTGTAGATGAAAGTGTGCGTGCAGCGTACGTACCCGCCTCTGCAGTTGCTTTCTCCTAACAGAGTACATCTCTGAGCCAGCCTGGCGTGACTGATAGATACCTTGTCACTTGTTCAGTGTTACTGCTAAGGGTTAGAATTTAAATTTGTGGTCGCCCGTTTCCACTCGTCAGCGTTCCCTCTTCACACGTCTGATCAGCATGAATAGAGCCTGTACAGCACACCAGCTTCTCCACGGATGCAAGTTACTTTCTGCAGTTCGGGCACGCATCGATTACTCATTCAGGACTGAAAAGGAGATGCGGCTCGGCCACCGAGGCGTTGCCGTTACACCGCTGCAGATGCATTACTGAATGCACAGGGAGGTCAAGTAACATGCCCGTGGGCATACGGTGAGTCAGCTTTACATTCAGAATGATCCAACCTAATAGCCCTTTTTATTTAAGAAGGTATTTAGGGGGTTGTATCCATTTGACCAGACAGTCTGTCTCTTGAATGCTCAGGAGTTGATTTAAGTAGCAGAGTAGTGTACAGGCTTCAGCCGTATCGTGCCTTGTGATACCTTGTCTCCAAGAAGACAGTTTGAAAGCTGTTACGACTCAATCTGACAGCTTTTTAATCATGAGCAAAACAGGTTGTCTCTTTTTAATTAAATGCAAGGATTTATGACTCTTTCAAGCTAGCATTTGTGTTTCAATATGCATGGATCATGGATTTGACTGTATAGCAAGACTTTGGCAGTGTCCTGCACAATGCTCTTCTGCTTTGATGCTTCACGATTTCCTGGAAATGAGCGGGGAGAGCCAGACCGTGATTGGATAAGTGTTCTTCCTGCTGCATTTCTGCTGTAATGTCCTGTTTCACAGTGCTTGGTCATTAGTCTTTCAAGACTATTTCAGAGAAGGCAGATCTCGCTTCCATTCATTGAAAATGGGTAGAGACCAAGTGACTCACAGTAGCAGAGCTGGGAGTAACTAAGAGCCAGACTTTATAACACTGTTTGTCCGTCTGGTGGTGCAGTTATTACCATTTCAGTAATGTCTTTTTCATTGGGAATATTACATCTCCATGGTACCAGTTTGAGGTTGGCGCCATATCCTCCAACAGTATTGTCAAACTTTCTGAAGTAAAAAGAAGCAACTTAACATGATAGCCAGGTAGGGTTAAGACAGTATTGTTCTCTTGTACGGTGGCTTTCTCATCAGCTGGTAATCTTCTGACTCCTCAGCTCCGTCTCCCAGTTCTTGCTTGCTGGCAATGCCACCTCTTGCTAGAAACACTGTTTGAAGTAATCTGGCAAAAGAAAAATTTTAGGGAAAAAGGTTGGTAAGGAGTAGGTCAGCAAGCTGTCTACAAATTCCATGTGCTTGTGGTTGGAAATACAGTGTAAGGTAAGGGGGCTTTAGAGGCTGACTACTAATGAAGTAAGCTGGATGAAATGCTGGTAGCCTGAGGCCTCATTGTGTTTAATAAGATGTCTTTTGGAAATGAAGTTGTCATTGTGGGGAAGAATGGGTAGCAGCGCCCATGAGCTGAATTACTGATAAATACAATTTGAGTTGTCAGCAGCTATGGTTCATCCAGAGCTGGTAATACTTTTTGATCAGCACTACACAGAATCTGTGAGAAGGTATTAAAAAAAAAAAAAAAACAAACCACAAAATATTTCTTTGAGTAGTGTTTTTAAAAAGCCTTTAAGGTGAAGTTTTCCTTACCATGGTTCCAGTTACTGATACTGGTAAGTCATCTTAAAGGCAATTCACAGGCAGAGGATCTGCTCACTGTAATAAAGAAGATCCAGAGATTGTTGAATACCACAAAACTAAGCTAGGGAAATTTAGTGAGTATCTCGCCAGCGTTAGCTAATTATGGAGGGGTTATGAAGTTATGGACCTTACCTCAATTTAAAGTTGTTTTGATAACAGACACTTGATCTCCCTTTTTCATTTTACAAGATCAAAGTGGTTTTCCCCCTCCTTTCAGTACTTGCGTGGTACTGATGAAAGCTACCTTTAAATTTTCTTTTGCTTTTTCTATAGCTGGTAAATTGGTATCCTCGTACATGCTGTTATTTAATTTCTGTAGTCAAATATATGCAAAGTCTTCTGTATGTTATGGGAAAGAAACATTTGTTTCCTGGTCTGTCTGTTATCCTCTCGAAGTAGAGGTCAAATTTCTTCAACTCTGCCAACTGGGAGTAAATGCTGTAGGAGGTATCTGATAGAAAAACCCCTGTTAGAGGCCTTATTCGTAACGCACATGTAACTGGCTTTTGACCCAGTCAGTTTTGGGGTTTTTTTAAATACCCAAAGTAGCTTTTCTTCATTTGTAGAACCAACCTGTGTTTACTTTGTACTATTTTTTCGTCTGTTGTTTGTCATAAACTTATTCTAAATTAACCCCTCTCCTCCACTGTGCTTTTTCTTTAGCAGGCTTTGTTCTCCTTCCAGAGCAGACCGTGCCACCAGTCCCTCTGATTCTGCCAGAGTCCACAGACATACGTTTGTCTATGGCTGCGGTGTCCTACAAGAATTTTAACTTTTTTGTTGCATTAGCTTCTTAGGAAAGCTCAATTGAGGAGGGGAGCATTAGGGTTTGTAAAGATACAGACTCAGAGGTTAGCAATCCTGAGTTAGCTGTGCTCTTGTGTATGGTTCAGTGGCATGGGTGAGCTTTCTTGGTGAGAAGGTAGCGGGTTGTTTCCAGTGAAGCTGTACCTCTTCCTTACTGAGTCCTAGTTATGTCATGACAGACCAGTGTCAGGAGTGCTCTCCTCTATAGGAGCACTTTGGACATGTAAAGACTACGGTATCGGTTGTTAGCAATCTGGTGGATGCTGAAATCAATTGGTACCTCTTATTACTGGTCAACAAACGATCAAGGGTTTGATGTCAAGAACAGCCCAACAATTGTACTAAAATTTTGATAATTTGAATGCAATGTGTCTTTGCCTTTAGTGTAATGATGCCATTTATTTTTCAGTAATATACCTACTGCAAATTCATGTTGCAATATTTAAATTTTGTACTACTAACTTAATAATTAAAGCAACAAATGAATAGTCTTAGTAGCTTGCGGATGAGAAGATGATCAGAGATCAGGGTTTGGCTTAGGGTTCCTTTCCAGCCTTTCTGGAATTCAAGAATTTGGGCACGTCGCCTCTTCTGTCTACTTCAGTTGGCCAGACCATAACATGGACATGTTACTGCTGTGTGGCAGGAACATACTGGCTTAAGGCAAAGGCACAGCACTGGTATTGAATTAAAGTGTTTGAAGCTTTAAAACACCCGGGGGCCGGCTTTGTTTATTTCCCGTGTACTAGCACGTGGCAAAGATGTGTAAAAAGGACTGACCATAAAATACTGACAAACAGTAGAGTCGCTTAATATCGCTTAACTCATCTTTGTTAAAAGGCTGTCATAAATCCATACGACTCCAGTTCAGCTTCAGCTTTTAGATATCTGTAAGAGATGAGGAGATGCTGGTGAGTCGCTGCGTGAGTGGTGGGAAGTAGCCGCAAGACAGCCGGGGCGGTTGTAGCGTCGCACTGTTAGTGGAAAGGAACGTTACACAGAACTCGACAAAACACCTCTCTTATCTGCTGAGAGTATCTGTCCTCCTGATGTCAAGGGTTGTGCAATGTTGGAGTGGTGTTTTGCAAGATGATCTGAATCGTCCAATGCTCTCCCTTGCTCCAGGCCCGTTGCTGCTGCCTGTTGTGCAAGATGCTCACCGTGCTCTCCTTCTGGACCCTGACTCCGGTCTCATTCAGCCAACTAGCCCGATGATAAGGTGCACAGCTTTCCCCTGGGAAGTTGAATTACAAAAGAACTCGATGGGTGCTAGCTGGCCCAGCAGGTAGGCAGTTCTGCCTCTTTACAGAAGCAGTGGACTGTGGGGTGGACTTGAAGGGCTCCTGGAACTGCAGCCTGTGTCCCGTGGCACTCACTGCTGCTTCAAGGTTTCCAAATAATGGCAATAGCAAGGTGCATTTGTGCCTGTCCATGCTGGACCGGCTTTGATTTTTGCAGGAGACAGTACAAACCCTTCTCGAATGAGTAAATCAGTACCGAGATGACTTTCCTGCTTTGAAGTTACATTGCAGCTCTCCTGATGTGCCAGTTGGAGCTATTGGTGGAAAACACAATGTTTTATTACTTTCAGGATATTTCAGGTAAATGTTCTTAATAGAAAGAAAATCTGTGCTCTGAAAATCAGGATTAATTTGCTACCGTTGTGCCCAAGCAATTTAAAATGTGGCTTTTCTGTGAGCGTTACTTTATTGACCTTGGTAGAGTAATAGACCAATACTTCTTAAGAAGAGGTCTGTTTATATAGAATGGCATGAGCCAGCCGAGGAAGCACAGAATACATTTCTTTTGAGTAACAGAAATGGGTAGGTAAAGTGGGAAAATTTGTTAAACTCAAAATCTTATAAAAAGACAGTACATCCCTATGACTGTTCTCAGTAGGGTGATCTTCTGCAAACTAATATGTGGTGGAAAGAAAAATAAATGAAGCATGGCTATCCTAGCATTGATTTCTGCCACTAGTTTTGTTGAAAGAATAATGAAAAATCTTAAGAGCGAGTCGAGTTGCTTAAATTTTAGGAGCATATAGTGATAAAAATATGCCCCCTCTAATCTTCAGAGTAGAGAGCATTGTAGGCTTTAAATTGCTGCGCACTTGAGAAAAATGGTTTCACTATGAGAAAGAAATGAGATTTTAGAAGGCTAAGTGCAGCCAACCCTGTGTGCCTTTATGTGTATGCTAATGAATTTATTTTTATGAGGACTGTGATTTTTTTTTTTTTTTGCGGGGGGGCGGTGTGTGTGTTTGTTTTTGTTTTGGTGGGATTCCAGTGCAACTGGTGAAAGTTTCTGGAAGCCTTTGTGGAGGCTTGTGAACTAATCCGTAGCTGGTGGTTACCTTTCATTTGAAAGAGGCAGAATATGTGCATTAAGCATTACAATAACCTGTATTTAAATGTAAAGTCTTGATTCTTATTTACAACGAAAAATTTTGCTTTTCAGGGTTGCAAAGAATGCTCCACAAACCGTTGTTTTAACACATATACTTGTAATTTTTATTCAGTCTTGGATAATTTGTATATGCAGCCTGTTGAGCACTCAGTAGGAGCAGACTATTTTTAACCTTCATTTGTTTATGCAAAACTAGTTGAAACACAGCATTAGTTTAATCCTTTCTTCCTTTGTTTCGCACCTCGATTCTCTTACCAGGGTCCTATTCTTTAGGATTGCTACTGGGCCTGATTTATGAATCATCTGATGAAGAGCCAACTCCACTCCCAGAAATGTGCCTTAGGTAGAATTGTATGCCAGTGAGTCAGCTTTAGGGCAGCTTTTTCAAAGGAACACTATATAAATTACATGGTATCCATGTGGGGGTGGCTTAGTGTTATGAAAAATCTTCTCTCGAGCATCGTGCACACACATCCACACGGAGCTGAGTCAACTGGCTTGAGTTAAATTGAGTGCTGGTCACAGTTCTGTTGTTTTAAGTGCATGGTTATCTGTGACACTTACATGAAAATAAAAAAGAATGTGTGGTATCCTGGGGGAGGAGATGAGCATGTCCAAAAGACAGCAGTTGGGAAGTGCAGAAAGCATTGGTACTTCTACGCATGTCTGGATGCAGATTATTTTTTTTCTGACCGTGATCTAATTATTTGGATTGATTAGTTTTTAGTTACTTAGACGTTCTGTTGTTAGCCATGTCTGTATGTGTTACTTGTACTAGAATGTCACTGTTGAATTCGCTGAATGAAGTGTGTTGGCTTTTAATGGAAAGGAAGGCAATGGGAGTAGAAAAAAAGCATGACCAACATGCAGATACACCTACAAAGGTTCTTGGAGCAGCTTTGGAAGTGGCCGGAGTCGCATCTTCACATCTCCAGAGTTCTGTGTCTCTCTGTCAGAAGAGGGCGTAACCTTGGTCTTTGCCAAAAGTCTCTCCCATACTAGGAAGTGGACTTGTGCGTTCCGGTCAACTCATCAGTACCCAGGTCATGTGCTGCTTCTGTCCCTTCCCATCCCACCATCCTTAGACACATAGTCTGTCAAGTGTTTGATTCAGAGTTCTTGATGGGCTTGGCTGAGTTTTTACATTTGAAAACCCCAAAGTCAGCTGTTTTACGTAATTTTATTAGCCTCGGTTGTATACATTTGTCATTACCTCTCTCGCACCTCTGATTTATTCCATCTGTGCTCAGTTACGTTGGGAAAATGTGAGATATTGTAGTCCACTGGTGATGGAAATAATTGTTTATGTAAGAATGAGCCACTGTTAGTCTTCAGTTCTGTGTAAATATAAAAACTGTGGTGGTTTGACCCTGGGTGGACGCCAGGGGCCCACCAAAGCCTCTCTATCACTCCTCTCTTTAACCGGACAGAGGAGAGAAAAGTAAATCAAAAGGCTCGTGGTCGAGATAAGGACAGGGAGAGATCATTTGTCAGTTACCATCACGGGCAAAACAGGCTCAACTTGATAAAATTAATTTAATTTATTATCAATCAAAATCAGAGAAGGAGAGGATAAAACCCAGCTAAATCTTAAAACACCTTCACCCCACCCCTCCCTTCTTCCTGGGCTCAACTTCACTCCCAGTTTCTCTACCTACTCCCCACAGCGGCACAAGGGGATGGGAATGGGGGTTGGGTCAGTTCATCACACGTTGTCTCTGCCACTTCTTCTTCTTCTTTGGGAGAGGACCCTACCCCTGCTCCAGCATGGGGTCCCTCTCACGGGAGACAGTCCTCCACGAACTTCTCCAACGTGAGTCCTTCCAACAGGCTACAGTTCTTCATGAACTGCTCCAGCATGGGTCCATAATTTCCCCAGGGTGCAGTCCCTGAGGAGCAGACTGCTCCAGCGTTGGGTCCCCTGTGGGGTCACAAGTTCTGCCAGCAAACCTGCTTTGGCATGGGCTTCTCCCCCCATGGGTCCGCAAACTCTTGCCAGGAACCTGATCTGGCGTGGGCTTCCCACAGGGTCACAGCCTCCTCCCTTCGGCATCCACCCACTCTGGCGTGGGGTCCTCCCTGGGCTGCAGGGGGGGATCTGCTCCACTGTGGGCCCCCATGGGCTGCAGGGGCACAGCCTGCCTCACCATGGGCTGCACCAGGGGCTGGGGGGAATCTCTGCTCCGGCACCTGCAGCACCTCCTGCCCTCCTGCTGCACCCACCTGGGGGGTCTGCAGGGCTGTTTTCTCTCACATCCTCTCACTTCTCTTCTCTCTCTGGCTACTGAGCCGCAGTCGGGTTTTTTTCCTTCTTAAATATGTTATCACAGAGGCACTTCCACCATCGCTGATGGGCTTGGCCTTGGCCAGTGGTGGACACAGGGAAAAACTTTTGGCAGCTTCTCACAGAAGCCACCCCTGTAGCCCCCCCACTACCAACACCTTGCCACAGAAACCCAATACAGAAAACACATTCGGATTTAGATGAAAATACTGACTTTGTGGCGCTGGAGCTGTAAGGTAGTAGATGCTCTGTAAGAGTCTCTGTGTGTTCTGAACAAGTAACTCCTGGGCAGCAGTGCAGCTTAACTTTTAATTTGCATTGTCACAAAAGCTTAAAGAACGTACTTGATGTTACTTTCTGCAAAAATGTAGGTACAGTTTCTCATTTTTTTTTAAATTACACCTTGTGAATGAACGGCTAGTGCTGCGAGGAGGTAGGTTGTTCGAACTGTGTTCTTTCATTGCTAAAATAGCATTAAAAGACAATGTTCTGCTAGATAATTTGCTTCATTTAAACAATTGCTAGAACTGGCATAAGAAGGCAATACAGTTGTAAGCAGGGAAACATAGTGGTCTGCTGGACTCCAAATAAGGGGAAATGTGTCAGTAATAAAGTAAAGTGACTTCTAGCAGCAAGCTGCTATGAAAAACTTAGTACCTTTGAAGTAAGAATCTGTCATATCCACAGCTTTGAGAAAAAGAGCTGGTTTGCTTCACATAAGCTAGGCATTCTTTATCATGAATCAATTCAACAACACCTAAGATTATAATGAACAATTAAGATATTATGGTGTTTATTAAGTATTTCAGGGCTTATAATTTGTTTGGAAACTCACTTCTTTATGGCATTGCAGGATATACAGTTATAAAGAAGAACACTTGCTGAGAGCAAACCAAATAAAAATATTATGAAGGACGTATGGGTGGCCAGTTATTGATTGATAAAGGGCAGGTATGCCATCTTCAACGTATCTCTTTGTGCAGTAGTCTATCATAGAATCATTAAGGTTGGAAAAGACATCTAAGATCATCAAGTCAAGCCATGAACCCGACACCACCATGCCTACTAAACCGCATCTCAAAGTGCCACATCTGCATGTTTTTGGAACACCTCCAGAAATGGGGACTCGACCCCCTTCCCTGGGCAGCCCCTCCCAGTGCCTGACAGCCCCAAGGGGAAGGAATTGTTCCCCATGGCCAACCTCACCCTGCCCTGGCACAACTTGAGGCCGGTGCCCCTCGTCCCATCGCCCCTTCCCTGGGAGCAGAGCCCGACCCCCCCGGCTCCCCCCTCCTCTCCCAGCTCCGCTGCCCTTCTCTGGACACGCTCCAGCCCCCCCAGCTCCTTCGGGGAGGGAGGGGCCCAACCCTGACCCCAGCAGTCGAGGGGCGGCCCCCCCAGTGCCCAGCACAGGGGCACGGTCCCTGCCCTGCTCCTGCTGGCCACACCACTCCTGATACAAGCCAGGATGCCCCTGGCCCTCTTGGCCACCTGGGCACCCTGCTGGCTCATATTCAGCCCCCTGGCGACCAGCACCCCCAGGGTCTTTTCCGCCGGGCAGCTTTCCAGCCCCTCTGCCCCACACCTGGAGCGTTGCCTGGGGTTGTTGTGACCCCAGGGCAGGACCCGGCCCTTGGCCTTGTTGACCCTCACCCAGTTGGGCTGGGCCCATGGCTCCAGCCTGGCCAGGTCCCTCTGCAGAGCCCTCCTCCCCTCCAGCAGATCCACACTCCCCCCCCTAGTTTGGTGTCATCTGCAAAGTGACTGAGGGTGCCCTCCATCCCCTCATCCAGGCCATGGATAACGATGTGAAACAGAACTGGGCCCAGAACTGAGCCCTGGGGGACTCCGCTTGTGACCGGCCACCAACTGGATTTAACTCTCTTCATCACAGCTCTCTGGGCTCGGCCATCCAACCAGTGTTTTACCCAGTGAAGAGTATATATTACTTAATAGCATATATTCCATGATAGTTGTTCTATAGGAAGCTGTTAACACCTCTGTTTGAATATAATTTTTTGCTTTTTAATGATTTTTTTAATCTTCAAAAATACCTTCTCGGAGCAAGCAGTGGTGTGAAAGAAGCACTCGGTACCCTCTCCTGTGTGTACTTGGAACCTATGAGTTCAAGGTGTGATGAGACTAAACAGCAGGTAGTTTTTAATCAGATTTTTTTTTTTCAGAAGGGATGGTTTGTTGCTCACCCTCCCTTCCCTCATCTTCTTTCTGGCAGAAAATTTCACTTATCTTCTGGTTTTGTTTTCTGCTGCCTTAGTGAAGTAAATCTGACCAAGAAAAGGTGAGCCTGTTCTGGTGCAAAGGAGGGAATACGACTGCGCAGTCATGATTAGGCGGTAAAAGAGTAAGGAGTAAAACCCATCCCTGCTCGTGGCAGTGAGCTGTTAGGCTGGCTGGGCTGTCTCTGTTAATCTGACCTTCAGAATCCCTCTAGATTTCTTCACTGAAGGTCAGATTCCATAGTGTACAAATTATGTGCGTTTATAAATGAATCCATGATTTGAAAATATTTCGCAGGTAAAGGCACAGTGAGATAGTTAATGGCTTCTGCATACTGGTGTGTTCTGTGTGTGGCTGGAAAAAATAAAATCTTTTACAAAAATCTAGCTCAGAAGTTTTTACAGAATTGCCTTTTAAAATCATCGGTGCAGTATCTGTGCATCAGAGAAAGGAGAATGACATTTCTGAGCAATGTCTAATTAAGTATCCATCTGTGTCTGTAAGCATGACAGCTTATTTTTCAGTGCTGTTCTCATTTAAGTAAGAAACTGGTCTTTCTGTAGCGTCACCTTGAGATTACCTTTTCTAGTACTGTTACTAGAAAAGTGCGTGGCAAGAAAGGAACGGGAGTTTTTCACTCTAGTCTCATCCTCCCTCTGATCCATACGTTTCTGAACTAGGACTAAATCAGTACATTTCTTCTTTCTTTGAGACAGGGCTTTCCTTGGCATAGATACTTTCCCCTGAACTGTCTGTATTCTTCCCTGCAGCAAAGTCTGTCTGAGTCACGACAGACTTTTTTTCCACCCAGATAAATATCAAGTTCTTTTTTTACAGACTTAGTAATACTAGAATTGTTGACTTTTAAAATAGCCAGTTCAAGAGACCTGGAGAGTACAAACCCCATCGGAGCAAGTATTTTTTCCATGCACTGGGAAACACGCATCAGTGTTGACCAGATACACTTCTGCAAAGTTACTAGTCCCTGCGCTACCTTCTCACTGAAAATGTCATTCACTGATCCCCATGTGAGGGATCAAACCAGCGCGGTTTGCGTAGTTAAAGTCAGATATAATAAAAAAACCTTCTTAAGTCATTGAATAGACCGTTAGGAAGGTGTTACCGGGAGATGAAACATGATTTTTTTCTGGCTGATAGGCCAGAGAGATGGAAAGGCAACTTACAAGTGTTCTCATAGTCCCTTTGGAAGCTGTGAGGTAGGTGATGTTCCCAAGTAGGAGGTTTGTGAAAAGAGTCTCTAGTTCTCTTTGGCTGCCCTTGAGCCTTGTGTCGAGCTCTGTCCTTTGTGCTCCCCAGGCCAAAAGCATGAGTAGTGCAGAAGCTGTCCTGCAGTCATAATATGAGTATTTAAATACATTTCTTTTGGCCATTCTTTTATGTGTTTGAGCAACCAAATTTTTGCTTGCATGTGCATTGCAAAACTCTTAGAAAAGATATTTTTCTTTTCCAAGTGCATGACCAGAGCAAAGCTGGGAGTTGCACTAGCAGGTACAATACATATCCCCCTGCGTACAACTCTTGGCCAGTCACTCAGTCATCAAATCTGTGTCTTACTTAGCTATCTAGTAGGAGCATTTGCAGGTGAAATATGTAGAAATACTGATTTTATTACAGTATTGGGATGCGATTTTGTCTCAGAAAATGTATTCGTCATTTGGGTTTGTTGATGCTGTGCTGTGGCCTTGGAAATAAATTGGTTCGTACATAATATTTATTGCCTATATTAAATTACTATCTCCAGAAATTCTTTCAAGTTCCTTTCAGGAGAGTTCTACTCAGTGCAAGTGGTGGCAAACATTTTTCTTTATAAAATACAGGAACATATATATAGTATGTATTGGCGGGGGAGTAAAATGCTGGGGTTACTGTTTGGGGTTTTGTTTTGAGGTTAGTTTCATATTTGGCAGACCTAGAGTTGTCCTCTCCATCTTTCTTGCGTTGTCTGATACTAAGCTTGCTTTCCTTAACTGGTGTTCTGCTCCCATAAACATTTTAATAATTCCCTTCCACCATCCAGCATTTCATTAGCCTGAAGGAAGCATGAACTCTATTTTAATATTCTTCTAAAATGAAGTTTCAAAGTGGGTTAGGGCAGACAGCTTGTCACAGCACCTTTTAGAAGCAGGAAAGTAGCCTTATTCTGGGCTGCAGATGGAGGGGGGGGAGCAGCATACAGTTATGTTTACGGCAGCTTGGGATGGATCAGGGAACTGAAGAAGGATTGTCAGGGTAAGAAAGATATCTCTGAACCATCCATGCCTTCTCAGGATGCTCAAGTACTAATTGCCCTTCTCTGCAGAAAAGCATTTTTTAAAAACAGTCGACTAACTCTTACTACTGCTTTTTCTTGTCTACGCTTTTTTTGAAGTGCCATAAATTTATCATTTACTGTACTTCTAAACCCATAAGTGGTTTGTTCCATACCATTCATCTGTAAGCAAATGCGGTGACTGAAAGATCTTTATTCTGTGTTGAATTGCACGTGAACATTCAGGTGGAAGGCAAAGTGTGAATAATGAAGATAAAATGATAAATACTGATCTCTAAAACAAAATTTCCTGGAAGGTGCTTCAGGTACTTTTGGGTTCATAACGTGCAAGTTGTCAATCAGATAAATAGCTTGTGTTTTGTATTGCTTCAAATGCAATTTATGAAATTATGACTCGAAGTAAAGTGTAGGGTACTGGAGTGGGTGGATACTGCTTCTTGCTTGCAGCCCATACTATTTGATGCCTGGCAGATTTGAGAGAAACTAGGTCAGCCTGTATGTTCTCATACAACCAGGAGTTGTGTGGGAGACACTCAAGGAGCACTTGAGCAGTGTATTAGGTACTCCTAAAAGGTCTTTATGTGACTCACCAGCACGGTGGTTCTCTGCTGAGAACAAATCCATGTTACACATACCAAATGCTTCTAAAGACCTCACCCGTAGATGTCATAAACCCTGTATCCATGACAATTTAGTATCACTTTGTGGGGCTTCTTTTAAATACACCTTTGGTACATGAGATTTGCTGGCAGAGCGGTGCCACTGGAAAAGGAAGGTGTTTGTAGTCCTGTTCTGTTCAGCAGACACTCAATTTCTGCTCAAAGTGACTGGATTTCTCCTGTAAGTTTGCAAATTACCATAAAAACATCATAACTTTCTAAGGTTGAGGGCCTGTTCAACTGAAAGTAGATTTCTCAGAGATACGGAAACTGAACTATATTCTGGTCTGTCCCGGTAGATGATGACTACCAAGTCTGGGAATTTTCAGGCTGGCATTGTTCATAAGGGCTAAAATTCTCCATCAAAATGTGTTTAAAGTTCTAGGTAAAGAAGTTTAGGGTATGTTGCTTACAATATATTGATTTAAACATTATAAAGGAAGAGTTTAGATTTTTTTTTTAAATTTTATTTTCTGATCCGTTTTGATTATTTTAGTGAGGTGAGCCACGTTTAATATGATTCCAGTACAGTCTTTCATGGGTGTGTAAAAGGAAGAATAGTTTGGTGTAACAGGATGAGTTCACTAGGAAAGAGTAAATGAAGAAAACCAATACGACACTGAACCATGCTGTCTGTGATGGAAAGCAATGCATTGTTCAGGTAATACTGTGAAGAGCAGGACTGAGCGAGTTATATTTGGGTAAATTACTCTTTACTGTTCTGTTCTTGTGCAGGCTGCTGTGTCGCTGAAGTCCGTATCTAGTTCACCCAGTCTTCCAGACCACGTGCTCCATGCTTTGAGACCAGGAGGACCTTGGTGTTCTGAAATGAAGATGGAGGCAGTGGGAAAAGCAGAGGAACTTGTTGATTCGGAAGTTCCGCCAAAGACTTCTGAAAAGCAAGAGACTGCTCCTGATGAAGACGGACCTATAGAACTGGAGACGCAAGCTCAGAAAGACAACGTGCCCGCTGCAGCAGACTCTGCGGTGCTCTCTTCAATGCCTTGCTTACTGATGGAACTGAGGCGAGACTCCTCGGAGTCTCAGCTGGCATCAACAGAGAGCGATAAGCCAACGGGTAGTCGAGTTTACGAGAGTGACTCTTCTAATCATTGCATGCTTTCCCCTTCTTCCAGCGGGCATTTGGCTGACTCAGATACATTGTCTTCCACAGAAGAGAATGAGCCCTGTCAAGCTGAAGCTGCTGTAGAGGGAGACCCTTCTGCCGTGTCTGGGGCTGCAGTTGGGAGGAAATCCAGGCGATCCAGGTCCGAAAGTGAAACTTCAACGATGGCGGCCAAGAAAAACCGACAGTCTAGTGATAAGCAGAATGGTCGAGTTACCAAGGTAAAAGGGCATCGAAGCCAAAAGCACAAAGAAAGAATCCGGCTGCTAAGGCAGAAACGGGAGGCAGCTGCTCGCAAGAAGTACAACCTGCTGCAGGACAGCAGTACCAGTGACAGTGACCTGACGTGTGACTCGAGCACGAGTTCATCAGATGATGATGAAGAGGTTTCAGGGAGCAGCAAGACAATCACTGCAGAGATACCAGGTAGAGGATGTTTTTTAAACTGAACTGTAACGCATCTGACATCGTTTCTCAGCTGTCATGCTAATTTAGATGAGTGACACTTGAGAAAAACCAGGATAACTGCAGCTCTGTGTAAATTTGAAGACTGCAGTATATTAACAAGACATGGGCAAATTTTAAAATCTGTTCTGAGGTTTCAGTGCACTTTTGCACACCAACAAAGCATAGAAGTGGTAAATTGGAGGAAGGACTATCTTTGAATTCTGGAATTTTCAGATCTTTTCCTTTGTAAGCCTATATGAACTCCTGTCAGTGCTGTCAAATCCCATTAGATGGTGATAATCTAATAAATACATTCTTAAGATAAGTGGCCAGCTTTGCTTTAATATATTAAGACCACAGCTCGGCAGCTGTGTTAGAAATGGCATGGCATACCTCTTGCCCGTGTTACAGTAAGGCCCTGTTCATTACTGCACTTACGCCGTGCTTTCAGCTCCACATTTCAGTGCATGACAAACCTACTTAGCCTTATTGTAAATTCTTGCAGATTGCAGCTGGTCACCTATTTTAGGACATAAATACGAATTTGTTCACACAGGTGCCCAAGCTACATCCACACCTAAATTTTCAACATTTTAGACAAAGCTGTTACCATTTGCCTCTGTCATAAGGATCTATAATTTTTACACTTTTAATTTTCTGAAACTTCCATGTTGAGACTGGAGGCAGCAAATTGTAGGGGCCTTCTCATAATTTTATTAGCAAAAGAAAGATGAATTCTTCAAGTTTTTTGTCTGCCGAGTCTTTGTTATTTTATTAGCGCAAGTGCCGTGGACAGGATTTTGTGTGAATTATTCTTGCAGCATATTATACCATAGAACCGTCATCATATGGCATTCTTCATATGGCAATCAAAATAAAATCACATCAAAATAAACTTTTTTGGCTTGCCAATTTTTACTGGGTTGCATGCCTTTTTGCCTCTTGTGCTAGAAGATTTTTTTTTTTTGAGATCAATACCGGCTTACATAGGGCAAGAACATTTAAAGGAAAACTGCAATAATTAGTTGCCGAACTGATATTTATTAGATGAATTATTTAAAATATTTGCAGCAGATTTTACAAATAATTGTGTTTTAACTGACTTGATTATGGTGAATGATTCTGTCACCATGAGAACTGGCATTTTTCCCACATGTTGCTAGAAGCAGGCTGCACAAAGGAAGTTAATGTTTATTTTAATGTTTATTATTAGAAAGTCTGGGAGAAGCATAGTCCTCCTATAATTATTGTGTAATGGACTTTTAATAGAAATTCTAAAATTATTTTTACCAATTTAGTAGTTAGTCAAACTTCTAGTTTTCATAGTTTTGCCACCTTTTTATTTACTGTAGTTTAACTTTGCTGCGCAATTAAAGCCTGATTTAAAGCCTGCTGAAGAAGACTATTTCACTGAGTTTTGGGGCAGGTTCTTCCCCACCCCTAAGAAAACCCAAAACACACACAGTAAATCCCCTAGGTTATGTTCATTTTCAAATTATAAAAGCACCTTGTGACCCAGAAAGGCACCACATGGTATTTTCAGATCTGCCTAGATTCCTGACTTCCATTGCGGAGACCTGAAACCACTCTAGGGTACTTTTTCTGTGCCACTAGGCTGTTTTGTATTTGAGTCTTAACCATGAGATTCTTGCAGTGAAAAGGTCCCGTTGCAGTCCACAAAGAGCTTGATGATTTAATGACGATTACACCAAGGCCCAATTTTACCTGTGATGCAAAATGTGGGAGTGCAAAAACCATCCTGAGGAACAGTGACCTTTATTTTTATTTTGTAACCTGTATCCGCTTGATACTAAATTACATGTAAGACATTACAAACTTTTGAGCTGTGCTTTTGGAATTAGGTGCAATGCATACCTGCCACATTGCGGTTTTCCTTTAAACAGAAGCGACTTTGGTTTGTGGGAAGCAGTCTCCAAGTACAGGAGAAAAATATTCTCTGTAGAGATAAGGACAAGGTTGGCCAAAAATGCATCCTATGCTATTTGTGGGTTAATGAAACGTTGTGGTCTTAACAGATGCAGTGGAGCTGTCAGAGTAGGACTCCCCAGCTCTCCGTTGCAGTGGTAGGTTCACGTGCCACCTGCGATCCCTCTTCTTGGAACTGGCAAAGTGCTTAACTTGAATTATTGTTTTGACTAGAAAGCCATTTTAGTGCACTTAGCCTTACACTGTGAGTACCCTCAAAATTTAGGGAATGAACACGTAGTTAGAAAATAATACAGGGTATGAAAAAGCATTACTGGAAATTCAGGTCACAAGTGTCCTCTGCACACCGTCAAAAGCTAAGACTTGAACTTAAAGCTTGATACTTGAACTTGAGTGTCAAGAAACTACAGTGCACCTGTCAGAAGGACATAAGCATGGAAGAAAATGTGCCTTTACTTTGGAAAAAAAGTCAGTGCACATTGATGGAGAAGAGTTTTACATGTAGCCTGTGTTCCCCTTAGTCTTGCTGTATTTGGACACTTCAGCTGTACTCTTGGTTACTGTCTCAACATAGCTTGTTATTGGGACTGATTTTCAAAAGTCTGTTCTCTGAAAAATAGCTTTGCCAACAGAGATGCTCTAAAATTTTTAGTGACAGTTAAATTAACATGGCCTTTGTGTACAATGGTGGTATTTACTCTGGCTCTTAACGGTCTATTGAGACATGCAGTGTTCAGACTTGTCTGTGGTCTGAAAATTAAGTGCCACATTTGAGAATACAGTAGTAGTCTTTCATGTCACGTTACTAAACCCCTTCCATTTTAATAGCGCAGTTATTTTTTTCAAACCATCCACATGACTGGCTCTGGAATATGTTTGGCTAAATTAGTAGGGTAAGGGAAGTGTTCAGTGAAATACGTAATAACGCCGTGAACATCTGTAGTGCCATTAGCTTCATTTTTTGCGTGTACCCAAGTTGTGAACTGAGCAATCATGGAGCAGAGAGTTGGTTCTCTCTGCTGAACTCAAATGTAACGTGGATTAAAATGCTGGCAGTCATCTTTTTCTTCTCAACAAAGATTGACGAGTAAAGAGTTGAGATCTTATTGATGATACTTCAGTACAAACATTGTAAGCTAATTAGGAGCTGAGCACAATATGATATTTTATTCCAAATATATTACAAGGTGTTACTTTATACCTGAAAATTCAGGTTCCATCTGAATTTCATGGATGCTGCTGAGAATCTTGTCACTGACCTGAGCAGTCATAAACTTAGACTCTTAATTCAGGGAATGCCATGGGTTTTGAATTATGGCAGATGAGGAGCATTTTCTTACCTTTTAATGATTGAGCCTCTCTGTTGGCATTTCGGACTTTAGCATTCTGTGACAAGTACTAGATAGCATTCCCTTCGAGCATAAGATGATCTTTGAGCCCTGAAATAGGTTCTGCTGGACCTGCTGCTGTTAAAAGTCTTTCCTTTAAACAGTTTCAAATTTGACCATGCAAATTAACTCTGAATGAAATTGTCATGAGAGCAAGTCTGGGAATCAATATTTATTTATGTGCAAACACCTTTCTTTGGAGGAAGGAAGGGAGGGGGCTTTAAAAAATTCAAGTAGAATATGAAAAAAACTGGCATTTCATCACCATTATGCTTTCTACAGCTCAGAAAAATCTGAATTGAAATAGGGCTGATTCATGTTTTAGGCTTACAAAGAAATTTTTAGAAAGTTTGAGTATCAATGTTAAAAACGGGTGTTTTGAAGCTCGTATTTTCTTCAAAAAGAAGAAAACTGATTTCAATATGTAAAAATCCAAAGAGAGGAGAACAATGCATGTGAGAGACTCTCAGCCAGGTTAATTCCCCTTAAGAATTTTGCATAGACCTTGGATGAAACGTCTTGCGAGGGATTAATTTGGTTGAACAGAAAATGGCAATTATATTACAACAGGGGGAAAAAAAATCTGTTAAGAGTGATTTGCAGTAAAATACTCCTTTGGAAGTGTCGGGTAGCATAACAACACAGAGGAATCCACCATCAGTAATTAGAATGAAGATGCAACATATCTTCTTAAATTGTTATGCTGCCAGACTTCCTAAATTAAATAATTTTGGATTTGGTTATTGTTTAGACAGGACTTAATAGATGCTGTAAAGAGACAGCACTGGGACATTTCTTAGATGCTGTTGTGCGGGACGTGTTGTTTTGAAAATAAGACACGAGTCTTGGATTCTGACCCCTTTGTGGTTGTAAATTTCTTTGCCTTTTATATTGGCGTAACTTCAAAAACTATAGGGCTGTAAGTTTACAGATAGCAAAGGGACCAATTAGATAAATAAATAGATACATTTTAATATAATAAAAATGCATTTTTAGGCTTGATTTTCTTTTTAACCCTGCAGGCCACCAGTAAAGATTAGATTGAAAAAGGCTTGTTTTAAGAACTGCAAGGGAAGCATTTGAAACATTGATTCGCTGCTACTGTAAGTTGTGGATATACTACGAATGATGCCTTTTAAAAATAGTGTTGCAGGGTAATACATATTTCGATACATCATCTCTTCAGTTTACAAAACCGTTTTGTCATATTTGACAATGCTAGTTAATTCTTTACTTTAAAAGCCTAGCTAGATTAAGTCTCACATATTGCCATCAGTAGTTTTTATTTAAATTGCAATTAAAACTTACTCAGCATTACTTAGAAGTGTCTGACTGTAAGCCTGTGGAAGTCAGAAAGTCTGCCATTTAGTTTCTCGATCCTGCAATTAGATCCCTGACTAAAGACAAACAAACAGAATCATATTGGATGTTCAACACTAGGAGTATATGAACAGAAGAAATACTTTTTTTCAGGGAGGAGAAAGACCTTGAATACACAAAAGGAACCACGTTTTAGGAGAAGTACCATTTTACTTACTTTTAGTTAAAATGCGATCAGGGGGATGTCAATTAGTTGCTATAAAGTAATTTATTTTTGAGCAGAGGACCCGAATGCTGAATTTCCAGCCTGTCTGATAGGTGAAC